AATATCTGACAACCGTTGGAGGTAGATTAATGTGTTTTGTACTATTAGCTTCCAATTTAAAAAGTGATATATTAACTAAATTTGTTTGTAGTACACAAACTGAATATACAAATTTGCAACAGTTTGCGATGTTCTTTAAATAATCTAATCTTAAGTATAGATATACAGTGCTTTGCAAAATTATTCAGAATGCTGGAAACTTTATTGTATCTTTACAACCACAAATTTCCATGTATTTTATTGGGATTTTATGTGATAAACCAACATAAAGCTGCGCATAATTGAGAAGGTGAAGAAAAATTAAATGTGATAGAAGACTTTGTACTTAAAAATCTGAAACACTGAGCATTCATTTGCATTCAACCCCAATTTATTCCAATATCCTAATAAGTAAAATCCTTCAGATGTCAAATGACAGGCTTGGTCATAGAATCACCTGCAGAGATCCACAGCTCAGAAGAGAAAATCAGTTGACGGGACCACTTTTAATTGTGCGCTCAAAAATCTCTTTAAAAAAGAGAGGCTAAAAGAAAGCCATCAGAAGTCCAGCTTAACATTTGCCACAAGAAACATAGGGAACACAAACAAGTGGTAAACAAGTGTAAAAGGCTGCTCTTTTCAGATAAGTCCAAATCTAAAAATGTTGGCCTACATGTGAAATGATATATGTACGGCAAACTATTTACACATTATCCTAAAAACACCATCCCCAGTTTCCCACATGATGGTGACGGGATCATGCTCTGGTGATGCGCTACTTTCAAATAAAAACCCGATAAAACACACTGAGGTTTGTGGTTGTGACACAATAAAAAGAGTGAAATGGTTTAAAGGATAGTTTTGGAAGCTAAGAAGACACCCAGAGATTTGGTAATCCAGAACATAAAATAAGTAAGAAATCTAGCTTGAAATTTGATGATTAACTAAATGAGCAATAGAGAGACTCTAGCAACTCAAAAAAAGTCTGAAGAAAACAAATAGAAAACTCTCTGTTTATGTTCTCATACTGAACATCATCCTTTCTAATGTTTCTTGACCTTAAGCTTCACACAAACTCAAATCTAAACATGAAAGAGAGAAAAAAAGATTGTTTCTGATAAACTGTCAACCTGTTTTCCTCCTATAAAGCAATTACACAGAGTTAAAAAGATATTTACACATTGGCCTTGATCCCCTCTCTCAAATGTAAGCAATGATTGTATTTATCTCATTGGGGGCCTCTAACAGGCATAAATATTTGCTCACTACTAAACCAATGACTCATGACATTTTAAAAGTGCTTTTAATGTGCAGCCCTTCTGTACACTAAACAAGACTTAAAAGACCAAACACACCGCCTCACTCCATTATTAGCAATACAAAACAGGTGGCAGATTAGAGGAACTGAGATGCATAACTACAGCTGCTGAAAGAAATTTGCAACATCAAGATGATAACAGTTTTTAATTTGCCGTTAGAATGTTATTATGGAGCAAAAAAAGACTTTGATCAAGGATGAAACTGTCACAATAAAAATGGGGAAGCCCAAAAGCACCAGGAAGATGACTTACTTGCAGGCAATCCGATTTATGCCATGGATGAAGTAACAGTCGCCGCCATTCACACAGTAGGCCTTCTCTGTGTCGTTGCATCTTCTGGCATGGCCTGAGCCTGGAGGTGGTGTTGTGGTTGCTGGTAAAAAAAGAACAAAAAAAGACAGTACAATTTTACAAACATGCCTAGACTACAACTGGTAAAAATGTATAAATGGTAAATGAACTGAACTTATTTAGCCCCTTTCCAGTCATACAGACCACTCAAAGTGCTTTACACTAGAGCCACATTCACCCAATCACACTCACTAACGCTCACACATTCATACACCGATACGTAGATTGGTAGGCAACTTGAGGTTAAGTGCCAGGGGACATCGACATATAGCAGGAGGAAGCTGGAATCGAACCCACAACCTTCTGATTGCAAGATAGTTTCCAACTGGCTTTTCCACTGCATATCTTTTTAGCCTCTATTTTAAGGCTTTTTAGCCTTAAAATAGAGACACAGTTATAAGAGAGGAAAACTGAAGAGTCCTTTTGGAGGTAAAAGCGTAAATTTGTAAATCGCTCTCATAAATCTGCCTCACAAGTACAGAGTTAAAGAAATACAAAGCATGTCCGTTAATCATAGTTTTTTATCCACATTTTGACTTTAAACAACATTATCTTAATCTTAAGACGAAAAAAGATTCAATTTAATAAATACCCCACACTTCTTGGTAAAGATGAAAAGCCTTAAAATAAATGCATCTTTTATTGCAGTAACATAATCTTACAGTAAAGATTTTAGAAAAAAAACCTCAACATTTAATGTGATTACGTTTATCCAGTAGGGGAATATCTCATGCATTAGTAAATACTTGTTTTTAAGTAAACTGAGCCACAGTTATATACATAAAGGCAGGTTAAGTCAGCAGCTTTTTCGTTACCATTTTCTAACATAGGAGGTTAACGGAAACTGTTTTTGGTTTTTTCATCTTGTCTGTGTTACATCATATTTACACCCCACTGAAACTGGTTATGAATTGATAATTGTAAAGTTCCCCAGCGCTGTGACTAGTGTGGTGTCACAGTTCCCTCATTGGGGTTTTTCATGTTTTCAAGAAAGATGCTCATTATGTTTATTGATTACCATGGTCTCAACCAAATCACTGTAAAGAAAAAATAAATAAATTCTGCCATTCATGTCCACACCATTCGATGGCACCACCATATTACAGACTTATCACCTGGTCCGCAACAGGTAAGGCAGTGATGGAAAACAGCTTTTAAAACTTCGACTGGATATTATAAATACTGGGTATTCAAAATGCCCAGACTCAGAAATGCCCCTGCTGTATTCCAAGTCCTAGTGGACGATGTTTTGATAGACTTCTTCAACATGTTGCCTTAAAAAATTATCCTAAAAATGTATGATTGTTTCTCCAAGTCTTGTCATTTCATTCCTCTAAAAAAACACATCTGTTGGTGAGACCACTAACCTCACCGGATATGCATTTAGATTTCATGGTATACCCCAGTGAGCCAAGGTTATGCTTAGTTTAGGTTTTCATCCTCAAAATAACAGCCAAAATGAACAACTCAGTCAGAAAATGGAAGCCACCCTCAGGCCCATAACCAATTCTAATCCATCCACCATGGATCAAACATGTACATAACTCTCATGCCTCTGCAGCTACTGGCTTTTCAACTTCAATTATTTTAGAGCAGTTAGTATGGGTGCCAATAATATCATCATCAGTGATTTTATTTATAAAGAAGGAATTTCTTATTTTTAACAGTAAATTGAAGATTGGACGTTGAAAGTTATTGTACTGCAATTTCTTTTAAGGTTTTTTACTCATGTTCACTAGAAGGTGCCGAAAGTATGGAGGTTGCTGTATTTAAAAAGCCTAATTCTTTAGTCACTAAAAGGTTAGGCTAGTGTAATCTAGTCAAGTCAAAATATGGATAAAAGATATGATTAACGGTCATGCTTAGTATTTCCTTAAATATGCACTTCTGGGACAGTTTTATCAGTTTGATAGTCTTGTATCTCTACAAGTATTTTGTGATTTACTCATAAAACACACTTTTATCTCCAAAAGGACTCTTCGACATTGAGCCTCAGATGTAATTGTGTCTCTAAGCAGTGTTGACACTATCTCAAGAAGCTTCTACGAAGAACGATAAATATTTCCCTGACATAACGTAGAAGTTGTTTATGCACTGACTCGTTGACATTCGTTGGAATGCCCCAAAATGTCATGTATCTGAATTTAATCCTTCATCCCCCACCCCCTCCCCACCCCCAAACTGACTGAGCAGATATAACATGTCTGTTTATCAAAACACAGGGACAGGTAAAACGTGGCAGAATTGGGCTTGAAGACGGTTGGTTGTGCTTTGCATGTCAGATGCTGACATGTGATTGTACCTAAAGTTAGATGCTGCTGGGGGTGATACAGAGGCTTTGCCCCGAGAAAAAGTTAACTGCACCAATAACTATGTAGCCTGATACTCATGCTGTGCAAGGTGCTTTGACAGAAAATTAAAGGGATTAGTTCTTCTGCTACTAACAGAAGCAAATCAAAAATACACTGTAGGCCAATGCTCTTGTTTCTAGGTTTTCATTTTAGACCACAGAACTGTCGTATAAAATTTTCAATGCAAGACTGCCCATGGTGAAAGTACAATTGCTTGGCAAAAAAGTAAAGTGTTCCTGTTGGACTTTCAAAATGCAGTGCAGGCCATACTCATACAATCTCAGGTTTAACTTCAATAAACATCCACCCGAATAATAAACCAAGATATACATTTTCGGCAGGTTTAATCTGATAAGATTAGTTAATTTGTGATTCATGGCCAACATGTTAGTTGAGATGGGATTACATATCTAAACTCCCAAGCCTTGCTGTCACACATATTCCAGGGTTTAATAAAACACAATAACATTTTCATACCAGCGCAGCCCTCAATATTATCCACTGCCACTTCCATGAGAAAACATTTTTTGTTTTAACAGGGTTTCAGCGCTAACTTCACTTTCACCTGACTTGTCCTGTTTGCGTTCTGCAAGGTAAAAACCCTAATAAAAATATCAGGTAAGAACTGAGGAACCTTGAAGGATTGCATGCATGCTCCTACACTAGAAATGGAAAGATTTCCTAGGGGTTCGGCTGTAAAATACTTAAGTGCAAAGACTGCAAAACAAGCTGGATGAATCCCTAAACAGAGCAGCAGCTGGTAGTGTTGAGGTTGGGTGCGGGGTGTGGGAGGGTTTAAGGTGAAATTCAGTCACATCATTTTTTCTTGGTCCACCTGGCTCATACCTAAGGTATACCAAGTTTGTTTTATAAAATTTCACTTTCAAAACCGCAAACATCATGCAGCTCCTGCGATTAAAGATTTTTTTGCCACTAGTGGCTTTTATTGAACAGTAGTTTGACAGGAAAGAGGTGGAGAGAGAAGGGGTCATGCAACAAATGTCCAGGGACCGGGAATGGAACCCAGGACAATCGCGTTGAGGACTACAGCCTCTGCACATGGTCTACCAACTGAGCCACCAAGCACCCCACAGTTGAAATTATTTTATGAGAAAGCAGAGAATGTGTTCGGAGTTTTCTGCAGTCGCATGGAGCACATAGTAAGGCAGCATTGCTCCTCCCCTGCCTAGTGCTGCATACTGTCGGTCAGCTGGCTGACAGAAGAATACTGCACTGATATTGGCACATACGAGAAAGAAAAAGTTGGCTGCTCATTGTAAAATGAAATATTCCATATCTATTCCATATGTCTATGTATTAAAACAGATTTTAACTCTAATGATTGAAATTTGACACAATTTTAGCCAAAGTAGGAATGGTGTTTGTTTCTATCTTTAAAATAAATTTTATTAGATCAAGTGAGGCATTTTTGTTTTGAATCTTTATGTTAATACTGTGGAAGAGTATAATTTGTACTCAAGGGCATCATACCATGAGATTTTCACAACAGCCCATGCCTATCCATATGTGGGTGAGCTGGGGGTGAAAACCCACACTGGGGGCTGGAGAACAAGAACACTTAACAGCAAACATCAAGGTTGCTAACTGGACTGTGGAGAAGATCAAATCTACTATCAAAGCTTATTCGGCTGCAGGGCTGAACCAAATGGGCTTCACTGTGGATTTTTATTAAAGTGTCTACATTTCAATGTAAAAAACAATTTTTGTACCTTCCTGGAAACCAGTTCAACTGAATAAAATTTATTCTAAAATGTAATAAGGGTACAACATCCAAACTTACTTCGGTCACAGATGAAGATGTCAACCTCTATAATAAAAATGTTCAAGGCTGAAGTACAGTGGTACTCTCTGGTCTGTCTTGATGTGCTTTTGCAGAACACTTTCAATGTGAGTTAAAATTGCGAACTGATGTGAAACAATCAACGTGCCTGCGTGTGCCATGACTAAGCATAAAATACAACATGTAATAATGACATTCTACTTCTGTTTGCTCTAAGACTCGTTCTTATTTGTCTTAACAGACACTGGAACTTATGTTAGTTTATTCTTTCACAACGTTCTGACATGCTGTTGAGATCTAGGGAACAGCGCAAGGCTTATTTTTCTAGTTTGTTTGTGTTAATAATAAATCTTGTTCCCCCACTACGGTTGCTTGTGGAGTACCAATATATAATTATTTATTAAGTACTCATGAATCCAATCGGTTACGTAGATTACAAGCATTCCTAGACATAAAACCCAGAGGACTTTTAATTTTCTGCTTTTAAATTCAGACAAGACAGAAGTTAAGCTTGGACTACAGCCTCTGGAGAACAAACTGCTCACGTTCTTTGGATGACATTAACCTGGGCTCTGGTAATAATATAAAGAACATCTAATCAATATTAGGCAGGTTACAAACTATGATCATTCAGTCAGATCTTTATGATTTGCGTTGATTATTTAGGATTCAAACAAACATGAAAATTCAATCAACTTAGCCTGCAAAACCTGAGAACCTCTGGAACTTTTCAGTACAAGCTGCACATCTGCAGGCAGTTTTATCAGGCTACAACTACAGATAAATACCATAACTCCCTTTGACATTTTGCAACAAGCTGCAAAAATAAACAGATCAATTTCCTTGCTCTTACATAATTTATTAAAGGGGTTTTAGTCATTGTGCAACACTGTATGTCTGATCTGACCACATTTGATAAAGGGGCACATGTTTGGAATGAAATCATCTCTGGTACAGATTTTTTGCAATTTGTCTGTATTGCATGCAGTAAATACAAACATTCTTCTCCTTAAATGTGTTTTTCTTTTTTAATGAAAACACAAAATATAAGATTAGTATAATTACAAGAATTTCATATATAGCTCATACAGTTAAATCACTTAAAAAGCCCTAAAAACTTGCTCTCATTATATTTACCCCCTTATACACATTCACTGTCAGTGTGTGAATGCGTGTATGAATAGGTGAATGACTGATTGCAGTGTAAAGCGCTTTTGGGTCTCTGGGGACTTGATAAAGGGCTATACAAGTAGAGGCCATTTACCATATAGCATGTATTCCTTTAATAAAATAATCTTTGTGACACAAAAGCCTTGTTACAAACTAAAATAAAAGGTGTAAAAATACCTAATATTTCCCTCTTTGAGAAGGGAATATGTTTAGATATGTTAAGGAAATCAGTTTGTCCTATTCTCTTTATGCAAAAAAAAAAATGTTTCTGACTACCAAGAGCAAATAGTGATCCTAATAATCTGAATGAGTCTGAATGTATGCAAACATGGTAAATAAAATAGTGGATTACCAGAAGCAGAAAGGCTACTGATCAGGGTGTTGTTTTCTCCAATGCAAACCAGCCCATAAACTGGGCCACTTTTTCTTTTTAATTCTGGTCTAATTTGTTTGTGCTGTCATAGTGTGTATTCAGGCTCAACAGCAGGTTTAATTGAAATTAAGTATCATAATAAAGCCCAAGCATTTATTGGATTGGTCAGAGATAAACATTAAAACACCAGCTGAGCATCTCGTGCAAGTGTTATGACACAGAAAAACATAGACTTTCACATAAATCAGTGACTTGATAGGACCTTTTAATCAGATTCTGTAAGCATATGCAGCATTTCCTCTGAAAGTTGATCTAACACAATGTCCTTAATTAGATACAACATATTTGCCCAGTCTGTCAGTGAATGCATTTCCTTTGATCGCAGCAGATATTGTTTTTTCTGTTGCAACAACTGACTCATTCAACTTTTTTTTTTACATATTTCTTGGCAGTAAGTGTTAAAAAGCATCTTCAAGTGTGATGTCGGCTCACTTATTTTCAATATGTCTTGATGGTTCAGTTAGCAGCTTAAAGAAGAGTTTAGTTTTTCACGCTTTGTAAACCCAGCTTACATGTGTGTTCATAACCTGTGAGATGGATGCAATGTGGGTTTACAATGCTGAGTAGCTATTCTTTTTGTGTGTGTGTTTGGATTTCTTTAATTGCATTCAGTCAAATCAGTTTTAAATCACTCAAGTGTTTGTCTTTTGAGGAAGATTAGGTTTAAGTGGGCTAAATCTTTCTCAAAATAATGTCTGAACCTGAAGCAAAGTAAAAAAAAAATCACAGTGAAAACACAAATGTTAGTTTCTGTAGCTTTAGTACAATTGTATTCCTTGATTCTTATCAGTCAGCCACTGTTAAAAAAATAGCACTACATTGTTGATGGGTTTCATGTTCTTTACATTATTGCATATTGCAGTGAAGGTTTGAATTTTTTTATGTGCCCAATTTAGAAAAGATTATATCTCTAAAATATAAAAACCTATGTGAGTCTGTTAAACCAGTTGCATATTGATTTCTGATATTTACAGGTATCTCTTTTCTTTAAAATGACAAAAGTGAGCCAACCTTTAAACAAAAATGGCTTTTCTAAATATTTAAAAATTTACTCTAATATTTTATTGTGTCTCAGCCATAATTCTCTGTATGATCTATTTATACAAAATGTAGAATCATATATTACTCATCAGTAATATATTTCATTTTAGTTAAGGGGCCAGAGTTATGGAGAATCATAGCAACATATAGAAAAATTATCTGGATGGTTCGTTTCTACAACCTTGAACAGCATATTACTCACCTATTAATAGACGACAACATAAAATGCCTAGGTTTGTCTTTAATGCAGTAGCAAGACTAATGCAAAGTCTCAGCTTACTGAGTCATGTATTCCTTTAGATCTCAGTAGTGATGGTTTCAGGCAAATTTTCTTCAATAAAAATTTTTCTATCAGAAATAAAATTCATGGCATCAAGTTTTTTTTCTCTGATTACCACCCACATTTTATATATGATTAATATAACCTTACCGAACAGTTCGTACCAAATACTCCGGTTGTTGATTGTCTTGGGCATCAAGACAGCGTATCTATATGATGTGTTTCTACAAATCTAGAACAGCACATTTCTTATCATTTATAATAT